AAACTCGTCACTCAAAAACCGTGCAAAATATTGGCTTGAAATTTACGCAGCATTTACAGAATATACTCGTCTGAAAAAATGCAAATTTTGGTCGAAATCCATTTAAGCGCTGATTTTTGCGGCACTCCCAAAATTAATGTTGGGAAATTTTGAAAGCACTGAATGGTGGTGCGTCCAATGAAAAAATCGCAATTCAAAAACTGTGCAGAAATTAAAAAAATAGTTTATGCAGCATAAAAAAGTACAAAACCACGTGCTGTCGCTGTTATTTTTTTAAGCACATTGCCTAAAGGCAAAATTAACCCTCTTAGTGTGAGGCGACCCTTAAAAAATTGCACAATGCATCGGCTTCGGGCCCATTCTAAACACCGCAGGGCGTCAATGTTTTACGTGCGAATCGTTGGGGCTGTGAGCGAACGGAAAAGCTGTTTGATCGCCACTCGAACCCTGAAAGAAAAAACACAATGCGGATTGAACAAATTATTTATCCTCTGCCGAAATGAGAGCACGTGCCCTATTCGGCCCTACACGTGTATGAAACCCACGGGATTTTTCTGCCGGTTATGGTGGTAACGGGTCAAGCACCAACTTTACTTACGCATGCAAATGGCGTTGATTAAAATTCAATCTGCTGGCACGGTACGTCTTCGTCGAACGAGATTAGAGATGTAATTCTCGTTTTACTAGCCGAGTAATTAGTGGCCGATTGGAGACAAATTTATCGGGCACTTATCTATGTAAATACACCCGGTAATTTATGTTCATTTCTTGACTGTCCAATTATTTTTATCAGATCGTCAATCAAAAACAACAACAAAACGGTTTTTCAAAGCCATTTCTTTGATGTTTGGAGTTGATCAAAAGAAAACTTTCCATTCGTTTGTTACTTTTCCAGTTATTAAACTGCGAACAAATCGGCGAATATCAACGCCGCAACAAGTCAAACATTCGCTCAATTACCGCCTTATAATGGATCTATCAAAGCGTTGTGTGTTTTGCGCTCTTCTTCAACTTAATTTTTCCCTTTAATTAATCTAAAATATTTGCCCGGGATATTTAAACTGTTTGTCCTGCGGAAATTAGCGAGTAGAAGAGAGAGTGGGATTAGCGGAGTCTTTGTTCAGTTGAAGCAGACAGGCAGGCCGATTGAAGTGCACTAATTGGTGTAAATAAATCAGGAAAGTTGTCTAGTATAGATACAATTCTCAAGTTTAGTCAAAACGGGATAATTCGCAATTTATATGCTTCGAACTGGCTAGTTTTCAAATTGGTTATTATGGAAAACTCGGTTTGTTTAAATGCAGTTAGTTCTGTTCGAAAGTTGCTGATCAATTGCTGATTAGAATCGCAGCGTTTGTATATGAGCGCTGCATTTTCCATAAAAGTTTCATGCAAATCAGCCGAATAATTAGTTGTAGTTGAAACTTGGATTCAACGATTTTTTAATCGTCAGAACTTCCTCAGGTTTTCGGGTTCGTTTTCCACAGGCGTTTGGCTTTTAGGGGAGTTTGAAAACAGCGTTGCTTCGCTTGAAAAGTTCAGACTGTGACTGCTTTCTTTTTGAATAACAGTTGCAAATTTCATGCAAATCAACTAAAGAATTATTTGAAATTGAAGCTGGAAATTGGCGAGCTGATTTACACGAAACTTTCCGCTTTTATCATCAGAAATTTGTGGTTTTTGGGGTCGTTTTTCCAAGGATTTCGGATTTACGGGAGCTTGAAAACAGCGCTGCTTCGTCTGAAAATGTCGCACTCTGACTGCTTTCTTTTTGCATAAAAGTTGCAAATTTCATGCAAATCAACTGAAGAATTATTTGAAATTGAA